GCGGAGTATAGGGGTGATATAGGGGATATTGGGGGGGTTAATAAGGATGTTGGGGGCGGTTCGGGAGTGTTAGGTTGGTGCACGCGGGTATTGGGGGCCGCTATGGGGGTGTGGGTGGGGTTATTAGGGGTTCTGGATCCCAAAAAAAAAAAGTGCGGGGTGCCGATGATCCCCGACTGCTAGGTGCCGACCAGCCGATCGGTCGGCGGGTCGGCAGCCGACCAGTCAAGGGCCGCCGGCCGTCGGGGTGTGCAACCCTGATGGGACCCAGGCTTGGCAAAACTCGGTGCGCAGTGAAATTCAGGAAAAACAGGCTCGGTGGTAGTGGTGGTGTAATGAGAGAACTTTTTGGGCGGATGGATGAGTTGTTCTTCCTTTTTTTTCCCTGGCCTTTTTGGTGAGAATTTGTGCAGTACCTCCCAGAAGATTTGGCATTGTGAGAATGGCCAGTTTGAAATCAATGTGAAGAGTTATGGAGAGCTGCTATAGTTGGGTGCATGACCCACGTGTATGGGTATATTTTGATGTGGGAATGGTACCTATTGCAAAACCCTTTGAATGTTTGGAGGTATCGTGCAATTTGTTGTTGTCTTCTTTTCATCTACGCACAGTGGTTTTACGTGGTGATTCAACGAGGGACATTGCTAATACCTTAAACACTCCGCCTGGGGAGTACGGTCACAATGTCCCTGATCGAATCGCCACGTAAAAAACACGGGGCGTAGTCCGTACAGGGTGCGACCGTACACCCCCAGTGCAACCTCACCCTGTGCAGTCCCCCTTAAACAAACACTCAGTGCTGAATCTCAGAACAAATGGCAGGGGACTGCACCGGGTGGGGCTGCACCGGAGGATTTCTTTGTGCACACGAAAAGCTGCGAATTGGTTTCATCAGATGTTTTGAGGTGAACCACTTTTGTCAGTGACTGCTCAGTCAGCTCTCGTACTGTCCAAAGGGGCTCAAGGGAACTATGTACTATGTACTATGTACTATGTACTAAGTTCAGGATTCGGTGCTCTGCGATTGAGTGACCTCCTCTTGCTGCCTACTGTGTAATGATGAAATGCAGTTGCCTGCGCCTCTGGTTGCTGCTTTCTGGCATGTGCTGTACAGATGATCAGGCTGAATCAAGGGCTGGCAATGTTCGATGCGATTTTGATAGTGCCAATGTTGCAGATTGTGTGGACGTTTTTCTCTATCTCCACTGGATTTGTGTATTTCGAGGAGTATCAGGTGAGGTTGGGGTCCTTCCTCCTATAAGCTTGCCTGCCTTTATTATTATGAGGGTTGGGATCCCACTTAGCGAGCATGATGCTGCTATCCTTAACAGAGGGCCATTGGACTTGTATTCGGTGATTTAATAACCTTGTACTCTTCTTCCCTTTTCTTTTTCTTTTTTTTAAGTGGGGGTAAGCCCCTACTATTTTTGTTCTGTTCATTTCATTCCATCAGGATTCGAATTAATGACCTGTTTATCCACAGTCATACCTGGGTACTATTTAACCACATGGGATCGGTACTGTCTTTTGTGCTCTTGCTCTCCCCCCTCCACACCCCCCCTCCCCCCAATTACTCTATGCTCTATTCGGAGGATGTCCATGATCCTGAACAGGTTATGGTGTTTGGTCTTTTGGTCAAATTCCCCTTTGAAGTTTGAATGTGTCTTTCTGCCGAGATTTGAACGCTCCTCGGAGAAAGGCATGGTCAGTGCAGCTTGTGGGAGATGTGCCTTGCTGTACTGACAGCGGCATGGACTTTTAAACTAATGGTCGCAGGCTCAATCCTGCTATTCCTCAGGCCCAGAACCCCGAGTCTTGGAAACTGAAGATTGCAGTGTAGTCCTGGCCATAGGAAAAGGAACAAAAAAAGAAGAAAAAACTTCAAAAAAGTGCAGTTAGGATTTGCACACTGGGAGCATCTGCTAAGACCATGCTTGGACCACAGAACGGGTAGTAGTAGTTTGTTTGTTTGTTTTAATTACCATTTCATGACTTATGCATGTCATCATTCAAACCGCAGTGTCCGTGTTAATCTTCATTCTCTGTATCGTTCCAATGTTAACGGATGTCCCGAGGGACCAGAACACATAGTAGTGACCGAATGGCCTAAGACTACCAAACAGAGACTACTAGTGACCGACTCAGGGATCAAGTCGCATAGGTTGCAGCAGCAGCACTCACAAACAAAACACACGAGTTACAGGTCACGGGATGAAGTCCTGCAAATCTCAACGCAAAGAAACAGCAAGTAAACAAACTGCACAGCCGAACACTTAGTGTACAGACCGACTGGGAACTATGATTTATTGCACATTCATAGTCGCTCTGCATTTTGAAGTTTGTGGTCTCCAGACTCTCCAACCTGATTACGGCTAGCTCTCATCTGTCGCTGTGGGTGGTGACGGCTGTGTCTTCTCTTCTCTCTGCCAGGTATTTAACTCCTTTAAGGCCTCCATGTTCGGCCTCGGAGTTCTATGTATCATTTGCGGGATGTTTCTGTTGTCACCAAGAGGCGGAAAAGGTGTGTTTGTCTTCCTTCCCAATTCTTTTTTCCCTTTTTGTTTGGACGGGGAGAGTCTCAAACTTTGTTGTATCCATCATTATTTGAACTCGTAGCCTGTTTGTCAACAGTACACATCCGTACCTTTCAGCCACCAGGCAAGCAAGTGCATTCTGGTCATCTTACGTTTTGGATGCTGTGTTGTTCTGTGCGCTGACCCGGGGTTGGCAGTCTAGACATTAACCCCATGGATTGTGCACCAAGGTTCTCACGGACAGATGGTACCAGAGGTGGTACCAGGGATGGGACCAAGTGCGGGACTACAGATGGTGCCATGGTATCAGACACTCGGCCATATGTTTAGTACCAAGTGTCTTGGTATTCGAGGTCAACTGTGGTCTTCTTGTGGAAGCTTTGGTTGTCTCCTCAATCGTTTGATTTTGTGTCCTTAGCACGAGGTTATGCAGCGGGTCGTTTTGTTCTGTCTAGTCCTGCCAAGAGATCTTTTATTAATAGTTGTTATCCCTCGACCGTCTGGTTCTGTCCAATCCTGGCAAGTCGTCTCTTTTTCTCTTTCCTTTTTAAGAATCCGGTTTTGGGTCTGGATTTGTTTGAACTCCGGTTTGTGTATTTCCCAAAGTTCATGGGCGTACCAACTGAGCTCTCAGTGTCCCTGCTTCGACGTTTTTCGGTTCTCCTCTCTCTTTTTGAAAAAAAAAAATCGATGTAGAATAGATGCTGTTGTTTTTGGGGAAAATATGTAAGAAATCTGAAAGCCTACCTTCATCCGAGTACAAGGTACGTTCATTATAGCTGTATTTGGGGAAACTTTGAGTCTAGATACAGCACTGATGACTGTACGTTGTATTGGGGTGAAGAAGGTAGCATAAGAAGGCTCTGGTGGGTACGGGAAGCATATGGCTGGCTGGCCTCCCCCGCTGTAACTCCATAGGGCCAAAGGTCCCAAACCATTAAAGGTCGGATGGCCAGGGATGGTGACCTTTTCAGGTTCAATGAAATAGGGTTGGGGCCAATGCTGGTTCGAGCCACATTTGGGCATAAAGGGTGATTCAAACCATTTTTTTGGGGTGATTAAAGGGTGGTTCAAACCACACGTCAAGTGCATGCGCTGCCCAAGTGATTGACGACACCTACCCTGATTCTGAATACTCACTACGATATCTTTGCTTTCTATGTGGTTGCCTTTCAATCATCAGAAATGGATGATGGGGATAAGGAGTTGCAATTGGAGGTGGAAGAGTTCCGCGAGCTAAAGAGGATGTCAACGTGCAAGAGGACCGGACAAGGCGAGGAGCTCATCCCTGTGATTGTTATCGCCCCTTCGTATCTCAGCATGTTCTTTGTGCATGGTTGTGCATGCGGTCAACGTCGCAGTTGCCGTTGGAAGCCTCTGCCACATGACCGAACTGTTTCTTGTGTCCTTCTCCTTCCCTCCCTACTCCCCATTGCTATTTCCATCAGTCAATCTGCAAGGAAAATAAGCAACAGCGAGATGACAATCCCAGATCACACCATCACATTTCAAGTCAAATAGTCACACCGTGTCCAGATAGCAGCATTGCACCAATAATACACCAATGGAGTTTTGTAGCACTGAAAACCAATGTCCGTGGAGAGNAATAAGCAACAGCGAGATGACAATCCCAGATCACACCATCACATTTCAAGTCAAATAGTCACACCGTGTCCAGATAGCAGCATTGCACCAATAATCCACCAATGGAGTTTCGTAGCACTGAAAACCAATGTCCGTGGAGAGCACACTCTCTCCCTCAACACACAAGTCCAGTTCCCTTACACTCACACTTGGCGCTCAGCGCCCAGCCTACTCCTACACAGCTACTACAGACCACAAAAAGACAATGCAACTGTTGACATCAGCAGCAGCCCGAAGTACTTGAAGATGCCGCCCATGCAGACCATCGCCAATACAAGGTACGTGCCCTCACATCATCATCATCATCATCATCCTTCACCTATTCCCTGACTTCACCCACACCTGTCCTCTCTGTCACCCGAAGACCACCCCTGCGCTTCACTGTAGTCCAAGCCCACCAGCTATGGTGGCTGGGTTATGGCGCTGCCCTTAGCAGCGCCCTCCTCCTCCGCACGACCGCACGTGCTGCACCTCGCCTCCCAGTGCTAGCAGCAGCCCACRAGCATCTGCTCTAGCAGCGCTGCCGCCAGCATGCGAGTGCCTGAATGAGGCTGCCTGGCCAGAGCTCTTTCCTTTATGGAAAAGAGCTGGCCAGCTCTCGCAGCCTGGCTGGGCTGGCCTGGGCCCAGCAGCTTCCGGAAGGCCCCAGGATGCTGTCTGGATGCAGCAGCTACTGGGCTGCTGGGCCTCGTTCGGTTGGGCGCCCAACTGTCTCTGTATGATGCTGCGAATCACGCCCAGGGCCTGCATTCTTTGGAAAGGCCCGGTAGGCCGTGGAAATGTCTTCGGTACTCAGCCTGTGTTTCTTTCAACCAACTGGCGCGTCGCAACTGCCTGGACCCCAAATATGAAATTGACAGTCGAGGGCCTCTTGCAAAAAGCCAGGCCCGCCTTCACTTAGGGCGGGCACCTCCGCCTTCACTTAGGGGGGGTAAGGCTGCAGACAGGGCCCAGTAGGCCTACCGAGGACACTGATCCTCACATTCCCTCCTCCTTAACTTTGTGAGTCCTCTGAGAAGTTTCTTATTCTGCAGGCATCTTCCCTTTTCGTTCTCTTTCATAGCCTGCAATCACTTGAGGCGCTGTTCTCATGAGTTCCTCCCGAGTGAACCAGCGATCTTCTTTAGGATCCAGGTGATGTCTGAAACTCACCCGGTACTGTATCCGTGGTTTAGGAGGGCGCCCTCTGCCTGATGGTCGTGGAACAGGCATCACTCGATGCTCGACAATCTGGTCGATGTCCACTTCGCCATCCATGGTTGGGGGCAGCATTGATCTCCTGGAAGGAAACTGCTCAGTAGCAGCGAAAGGTGCCAACTTTGAAGCATGGAATACAGGGTAGGTGCGTAGATGGGGTGGGATGCGAATCACATATGATGGCCCATCCGGTTGATCTCCTATCACCTCTAGGACCTCCCACGGACCGAAGAATTGTGGCATCAATTTTCTAGAGATTCCTAGCTCCTGACCAAGTAGAGATGCTTTTACCCAAGCTCTGTCACCTACCTGGAAATTAGAAGGCCGTCTATGCTTATTCTCAGATGCTATCATTGCATCTTGAGCTTTTCTAATGTGCTCTACGGCTTGCTGCAGCATCTGTTCATACTTAACAGCAAACTCTATGCTCCCAAGTGCTGCAGTGGATTCTCTTTCCGGTAGTAAGAAGTCCAAGGCAGTTCTAGGCTTCCAACCAAGATGCAGTTGGTTGGGAGTCATTCCGGTAGCACTGTGCACTGCGTTATTATACAAGCTGGCGACGAGAGGTAACTTCTCGTCCCAGTCATCCCGACTTGGCTTGATGTAGTGCCGCAGCAAATGCTGTACCACTCGGTTCATCTGTTCTGCCTGTCCATTTGACTCAGGATGATTACCTGATGTCATCTGGAGTTTGGTTCCCATCTGTTCAGCTGTAGACTGCCACAGTTCGCTGGTAAATCTTACATCCCTGTCGCTTATGATAGACGTAGGTAGACCGAAATCCCTTACCCAGTTATCCATAAACAGTTTGATGACGTGATCTGTCTTTGCTGTCTCCGGCATAGCGATAAGTCTGGCATATTTAGAAAATCGATCTACTATGACGAATATGTGCTGTTTGCCGGTTTTGCTGGTCACAAGAGTGTCCATAAAATCCATGGAGACACTCCGACCTGGACCTTCAGGGATCGGCAAGGGCTTGATCAGCCCAAGCAGAGCCTGAGTCCTGGGTTTGTCTCTTTGACAAACCTGACAAGTCTCGACATACAGTTTTGCATCCTTCATCATAGAAGGCCACCAAAACTTCTGTACTAAGTTTGCTGATGTCTTCTTATAACCAAATTGACCTACAGCATCATGACATTCTCCTAAAAATAAACTATGCAAAGACTCACTATCCGGGACACATACTCTTTTAAACCCTGCCTTTTCAAGGAACAGCAAGCCATCTACCGTGGTAAATTCGTCCAAAGTCTTCTTGTCCTTTGCTTGGAATCTACGAAGGATCTCTGACATAACTGTATCTCCCTGATTGGTTTCCACCAGCGATCGAGTAAGATCATTAGATATGCCGAATTCAGTTACTAGTGCGCCTAGATAGTCTGCCCTTCTTGACAACGCATCTGCCACTTTGTTGTACGGACCTTTGATAGGATCAAGTTGATAGTCATACATATCTATCACTTGAATCCATCTCTTGAGTGCGTCAGACAACACGGGCTGCGTCTTAATCCAGCGCAGAGTCTCATGGTCAGACCTCACATAGAAAAATCTCCCTAGGAGGTAATGTCGCCAATGAACTAGCGTTCTATATAGGGCGTAGAGCTCTCTTTCATAAGTGGATGCAGCTAGCTTCTTGGAAGGCATCTTCTTACTCATATACTCGATCGGTCTCAACTTTGGCCCCTCCTGTTGCGCAAGGACAGCACCAATGCCATATTGGCTGGCGTCTGTTGTCACGACAAACGGCTTGTCAGGATCGGGAAGTTTGAGAACTTCATAGTGTGTTAGAGCATACTTCAATTGCTTGAAGCTTGCCTCACACTCTTCAGTCCACTCCCAAGGGGTGTCAAGTCGAGTAAGATCTGTCAATGGGGAAGCTATAGTACTATAGTTTTTCACAAACGGACGATAGTAGCCCGTCATCCCCAAAAACGATCTGACCTCAGTAACAGTTT